GTGTGTGTGTGTGTGTGTGTGTGTGTGTGTGTGTGTGTGTGTGTGTGTGTAATGATTAATATCACTCAAGACCACTTGGAAAATGACAAAGTCTGGCTGCTCTTAAGCAAAATATGAAGAAACAAGGAGTGGCACAAGACTTCTCTTCACACTCTATAACCAAACAGCTGTGCTCACAAATGACTCACTTGTCACATTAAGATCAAAGCTGTGCTGATCTGCTGTTCTACTACTTTTTTGTGTTTTGGTCCAAAGCTGAGCTCGGCTCTAAGCTGGTTTCAGAATCAGAATACTTTATTGATCCCTAGGAGAAATGATGTTGGTTACAGTGCTCTAGTACAAACAGTAACAAAAACAGACAATACAAGAAGTAATAGCACAATATATACATATACAAGAAAGAAGAGCATGTGTAAAAAGGGTGTAGCTATTGCAATAAACAGTGTGTTAGGTGGAGGAGTTGTACAGGGAAATTGCCACAGGCAGGAATGACTTCCTGTGTCGTTCAGTGGTGGTTTTTGGTAATCTCAGTCACTCACTGAATGTGTTCCTGTGGCTAGCCAGTACATCACGGGGTGGGTGGGAGGAGTTGTCCAACATTGTCTTTATCTTGGACAACATTCGCCTCTCCGACACCACCTTAAGAGAGTCCATCAGCAACCCTCTACTCCCCCAGCATGCAACAGCATAGAGGATCACACTGACCACAACAGACACGTTGTGGTCAGCATTTTCTGAGCATTTTCTGGCAGATGTTGAAGGACCTCAGTCGCCTCAAAAAATAGAGACGACTCTGGCCCTTCCTGTAAAGTGCTGTGGTGTTTTTAGCCCAGTCCAGTTTGTCAGTGTATACTTCGAGGTATTTATAGTCCTCCACAATGTCAACACTGACCCCCTGGATTGAAACAGGGGTCAAGTGTTTCCTGGTCTTCCTGAAGTCCATGATCAGTTCCTTGGTCTTTGCCACGTTGAGCTGCAGATGATTCTGCTCACACCACGTGACAAAGGAGTCGACCACAGCCCGGTACTCTGTCTCCTCATCCCTGCTGATGCATCCAACCACCGCAGAGTCATCAGAAAACCTCTGAAGATGGCAGGTCTCTGTGCAGTGGCTGAAGGGTGAAGAGGAAGGGGGAGAGGACAGTCCCCTGTGGTGCCCCTGTGTTGCTGATTACCTTGTCAGACACACACTGTGAAGGATGCACATATTGTGGTCTTCCAGTCAGGTAATCAACAATCCAGGACACCAGAGAAACATCCACCTGCATCGCTGCTAACTTATCACCCAGGAGGGTGATCAGCGCCTTGGCCTGATGGTGTTGAAAGCACTGGAAAAGTAAAAAAACACATGACCCTCACAGTGCTCGTCGGCTGGTCCAGATGGTTGTAGACATGATTAAGTAGGTAGATGATGGCGTCCACGGCTCCGAGGCATGGCTGGCAAATTAAAGGGGATCCAGATGTGGTCTGACTATGGGTCGCAGCTGGTCCAGGATGAGCCTTTCCAGGGTCTTCATGATGTGGGAGGTCAGTGCCACAGGCCTGTAATCCTGGGGGCCACTGGGATGTGGCGTCTTTGGTACAAGGACGAGGCAGGATGTCTTCCACAGCACTGGAACCCTCTGCAGACTCAGACTCAGCATGAACAGTTTATGAAAGACTCCACACAGCTGGAGGGCACAGGCCTTGAGGACGCGGGGGCTCACCCCGCCTGGTCCAGCAGACTTGCCTGAGTGGAGTCTCCTCATTTGCTTCTGAACCTGGTCATCAGTGAAAGTGTTGGGGCGGGGAGGGGTGTCAGGATTCTCATCGGAGGCAACATGTGAAGAGAGAGGCAGGTACAGCGGTGTGGCTCTGGATTTCAGGCTGACTGCAGGTGAGGTAGTAGGATGTGTGAGCTGCCCCTGCAGTGCCAAATCTGTTTTTACATGTTTCATTCTTGCAGTTTCACAGCATCAGGCCCTGATTGTCGTTCCTCAGTTGAGTTTTCACTTTGAAAACCATTAAACACTTGAGATTCACACGTGTTTGTTTGTTTGTTGCAGGAGTTTCGCTCTGAATCCTGACCTCCTCTTTGTGCTTCTGTGGCTTATGAGGCCATAAATTGGTCACCGTGGCGACCAGCAGGATTATTGAAAGTCCCCCGTCTGACTTTCTGAGGTCAGCCGTCACTGTTAGTGTTTATCTCATATTATGTCACATCTAAAATCCTGTGTAAGTATGAATGAATGGTGATTAAATTAAACAAATAAAATGTATTTTTCTTTTTTCCAGTGTTCACCATCACTCTGCTCTGCAGCTGGTCTCCTTTTCCACTTTGCGGTCACTTGATGTTGAAGAGGTGAGTGTGTTAGAGGAAATGTTAACGTCAGGTTTAGTCTGTATGCACTCAGAGGTCATTTGTACCTGCTGCTGCTGCTGCTGTGGTTGTAATGATGTAAACCCTGATTGGTTGGATAGTTTGAGTGACAGCATTTACTGAGGCAAAGCAGAACAGCTGCTGATCCTGAGCTACTCTTACAAATGAAAGATCAGTGAAGAGCTTCCCTCACACAGCATATCCTCTATTGCACATGTGTCAAAGTCAAGGCCCGCGGGCCACATCCAGCCCGGTGTACATTTATATCCGGCCCGCGAGATCATTTTATATAGACGTACTATTATTGTTATGCATGGCCCGGCGATATGAGGCGCTAATAATATACAAACTACAGATCCCATAATGCAGCGCTGCAGCCTCTTTGCTGAACGCTAGGCTAACTGGGAACATTCCTGCGTCAATCAAGTCAAACTTTTTGCGAAGCTAGCTCCTCACAATGGTGGAGAGAAAAGTTGATTCTGAAAGCAGAGCCTTTCAGCGCAGTGGGAGACTGAATATATGTTTACAGACATGCTGGTAAACCCGTGTGTCTTAGTAGTGGAGCTAATGTGGCTGTAATTAAGGAATTTAATTTAAGACGAGACAAAACGTCAGGATAAGCTGAAAAACCTAAATGCAGAGCAGAAAGAGGAGAACTGTACCGGTGAGTTAACAGCATATCACTGCATCACACACCAGGAAAGGCTGTGTGGTAAAGTCCTAAAAATGGAGCATGTAATGATCACCGTAACGCAAACCGTAAATTTTATCTGAGCTAAAGGTTTAAATCACCGTCAATTTCAGTCTTTTATGTGGGAAATAGATTCAGAGTTTGCCGACATTCCTCATCATACAGAGGTCCGCTGGCTGAGTTGGGATAAAAGTTCTCAATAGAGTTTTTGAGCTCAGCAAGGAAACCTGTCAGTTCATGGACATGTATGATGCGGTGAAGGCATTTCAAGTGAAGCTGTCACAAATGCACCAGTGCAACCTGCCTCACTTTCCCTGTTGCCAAGTAATGTTGAACCAAGTCAGCGCACTTTGCTGAACTACACCTGTGCAGGATTCAGATGGAGCTGCAGTGTAATGATACACTCAAGGCAAAGTACGACACTGAATGGCCCGAAGAGTTTATTAGTTCCACTCCTGAAGCAATGCCCAGCTCCATCTACATGCGGCTCCAACCTTGTGTTTGCTTTCATTTATTTTTTCTGGGGTTTTGGCAGCATGTTGATATTTCTAACTTGCATAATTTTGACAGGATATATTTTTATGAAAAACAAAATATTAAAAGTTAAAGTTTCTTTTTTTAAGTTTATTTAATCTGGACTAATATTCCTGTCTGTTTTTATTCCTGTTTATGTTTAAAAAACATTGTTTTAGTGTTCAATAAATGTTTATCTTGTTTGGCCCGCGACCTAAAGTGTGCCTTGAGTTTTGGCCCCCTGTGCAATCGAGTTTGACAGCCCTGCTCTATTGGACCTGACTGAACAGCCAGAGCCTGATGTTCACTACAGTCATGGGCAGAAGAAGCACCAGTGTCAACAATGAATCACAAAGCTGTTTTTTTTGTATATTTATATGGTAATAAAAAGTCTGTAAAGTGGTGATCTGTGTTGGGGTCCTTAATGCTGACTGAAAATAGTTTCTCACTTCTTAATGAAAAGTGCCTTAAAAAACCCTTTTTTAAAAATAAATAGAAAATGTGCTTTTAATAAATATGACAGGGAGGGTTTTATGGAAATAAAGTAGATGTATTAGCTGTATCTGAAAATCCTTATCAGGTGATTAATTGAATTCACCCTGTTTTGGTGAACTTTGTGTAGATTCACACTTTTATTTAAAGCCAATAAATGTCTTGCCTTTTAATTTGACTTTATCTGCCTCTGTGTCCTGCATTTGGTTGCGCTGTCATGAAAGTGTTGGTCATTTTACAACATGAGCATTATTTTGTCTTTCCTGAAGGAATATTCAGGAAATGAGGATTAAAACGAGCGTGTCTGTTCATTTCCTTTTGATTCATGAACAGCCTGGATCAGGTCCAGACACTTTCTCCCAGTGTGTAACAGCCTCGGTGTTTCCTGAACCATTTGCCTCCAATAATCTTTGTCTTTGCTGGGCTACACTGGGAAACTCTCAGAACAGATGCGATGAGCTTTCGTTTCCTGTGGCTTTTTGCCCTCTTGTGATTGTTCTGGGTCGCTGAAGTTTTCCATCACCACCTCATCCTACAACCTATAATCTAAAATTAAAGCTTCTAAGAGGTTTATAAACGGATTATTTCCTCTTGGCAGAAAACACCAATAAATCAATGAAACACAAAAGTGTATGTGTATGTGTTTGTGTGTTTTGTTTTTCTTTATGGTCCAAGTTACTGAAGTTACTGGTGTGCAGATACTGTGTAACTTGATACATGTAAACACAGACGGTGAATTTAGACACGATAGGAAGACATGGAGACACTGATGAGCATCTCCAAGTAAAAGAACTAGTTCCTTTATTTAAAAAAGATGTTTATTTAATTTTTTATTCATTATCATTGTTGTTATTATCATTAGGCAGTAGGGTAATTTCCTCTGGAGCATCAGGTGGCATTTTAAAGCCATTCATAGAGACGTGCTGATCTCCTGATGACTGGTCGTGATTGGTGGTATGGCACCCGTTTAGTTGGGCTCCGGTCTCCTCATCTCTCGTTTCTCTCCTCCGTTTCCGGCCCAAGAGGAAAGCCAGAGGACCAACGATCCCAGATGTTACAGCTGCTGTTACAAGGAATGTGATCACTGTGATCCCTGTCCTATCAGAGGACTCTGATGGCTGTGAGGACAAGAAAACAGGAACCAGACATGTTAGTGAGTGTGGTTTGTGCGAAGGTTTCAGCCAGCGTAAATTTAAACAAACCAAAAACACAATACATGTTTCTGTGCAGTTATGTTATCTACTATGCAAGGCATCAAATTCAGGTGTTGGAGGAAAGCCTGCGTGCTGTGACATCACCCCACTGTCCTCCACTCAAACACTGACTCACTACTCCGAAGCGCTGACTGCAAATCTGGCAGAGTGGCGCCAGATTCAGATGCGCCAAACGCGCCAATAACGAGCCGTCAAAGCTTGCTGTTCAGTGTGCAGCTATTTAAATGTGGTCGGTGTACTTACCGTCGGTGTGGTTGTAGGCAGAGGTGTGCTACCGGCTGCTGTGGGGAGTTGAGGGTGGAATCGCAGGCGGACAGCAGATCGGTGTCTCTCCCACTTGTCTATGTCACAGTAATAAACTCCTTCATCTTGTTGCTGGACTCCCTTTATGGTGAGGGACAGGTCTGCTTGTCGGTCCCACTCTGATGGTATCGACACCCGGCTTGTGTCAACGTCTTCCCCGTACGTGATTCCCCCTGTTATAGCATCCAGCTGAAGCACCGCGTTTCCATTTTTCCTCCAGCGCGCAGATTTCACCGACTGGCCCGCGATGCCGGAGCGGCACGGGAGTGTGGCATCCTCGCCCTCGGTTACATCAACTTCAGAGGGGACAAATACTTCCAGCTTGATCGCTTCCAAGTCTTTGCCGTTGCATGTAAACTCGTACAGCCCTTCGTCGTTCAGATCTGCGTTGTCCAGGATGAGAGAGAGCCCTCTTTGATTCACGCGGTGTGAATGTTGTGGTCCGGGTTTCCAGACGTTTTCCAGGGAGGCGATCAGCTCCGTGCTGGCATCATTCCTTCGTAGATTCAGTGTTCCCCGTCCCTTCAGGCACTCCTCTGACAGCAGAAACTCAACGTCATCTCCATAAGGAGCTTGGATCAACTTTCCGAAAACCTCGCTGCATAAAAATAGAAGAATGCACAAAAAGCTCAGAGTCTTCATCCTGTGAATGAGGAGGTAAAGTGCCTAGCTCGTGCGCTTTTAAATAAGGAGAATGTTGCGTAGGCAGAGGCAGTAACGCCCACCGAAGGGCAGCACCGCCTAGCGAAGCAGGTTTTGAAGTGTGCATTCCTGTCATCACGAATGTTTTCACTAGTCACTGAGTTACTCATACTCATACCGTAGTTTTGCCGGGGCCCATCACCTAATCAGTGTAGTAGAGGAGAGGAGAGGGAAATAATGATATTTCTTTGCAACAGAAGCCTCATCATAACATTACAACACACGCAGAAGCAATGACAATAATAATAATGACTGTATTACGGTCTATATTACTATATTATAGCATGTCTTCTTTTTTAAAACGTCTGTGTGACTTTAATCATGAACAATATAGAGACTTTCTCTATTGTACTGTTATGTTATTCTTTAGACTACAGCTCTTTGGTCAACAGTCAATACTTGCTGTTTTTAAATGTGCTAATAAATGTTTTGACTTAACTGTGACAATCAGCTGCGTTTTACTTTAAATGCATGCAGTTTATTGTGTTTATTCACTGTAATAAAGATTATTAGTAGAAACGGGTCAAAAAAGGCAAAAGGAAGGGGAAAAAGGAAAGTGACGTGCTGCGCTCCGGTTAGCTAGTTTTTATGTTGGACGGTGAAAAGAGGGGAGCCACAAAGAGCAGAAAATGTTAAAATGTCCGCACAGTATGTGCGTTAAACCGGCTACAGACATGAGGACGTTACTCAGTAGTCTTTTATTTATCCCGGATACTCCTGCATAACTTCAGGTAAACTGTTTTGTTGTTTTTATTATTATTATTATCATTTTAGCTCCTCGTTAGCTTTGGTAACATGCTAACAAACCTAGCCTTTTTGGAGCTCGACGACGTTTACAAATCGGCTGTTTTGCGGGGGGGGGTTGTAAACGTTTGTAGTGGTAGTTTGTGGTTTGGGGGAAGTTAAACACAGAGAGTGTGTGTTTTAAAGCCGGTGTTTCAGATCTACTGGCGTTGGTCGAACAGATGTGTGGCAGTCTTGCGTTTCAGGAGCTGCGACCGACAAACCAGCAAAAAAACGCCAAATGTGTCATCTGTGACACTTGTGAGGTTATCTCAAACACACTCCGTCAGTCTTGATGCCGTTGAAAAACAAAATGTTAAAAAATGTTGCGGGTGTACCTGGTGATATCATATCCACACTGAGGGAGTTGGCTGAGAGCCACACTCCCTCAGTGTGGCTGAGAGGCTGCAGGAAATCCTAGCAGGGTCACTAGTGAGGAGGCTGGCTGTGTGCCCAGTCACCAGTTGCAAAGCTTGGTATTCCTGACAGGCTCTTTAACAAGCTGCCATTAATAGCACAGATGTGGAGACTTAGCACAATGCCATTAAAACTCTGACATTTATGTGGACAGAAGTAAGATCAGCTCAGATGTGTCCTGTATCCTTCCTTCACACCAACTGGTCACCAGCAGCCAGCTGTCTGAGCTGAGGAAACAAAAGGCACACTTACAGTCTAAGCTTTGGTTTCCCCCTAATGTTAGAGTTAGCCTCACTGCCACAGTCTCATGTTGCTGTCACAAGGAAGCCACAGGGATCCTACACTCACTCTTCATAGAAGTGACTGTGGTATGTTAGTGGTTTGAGTTTTCATAATGAGCTCCTTGAAAGTTGTCAGTCTGTTTCACTGTGGTGAGACTTAGCAAAGTCCTACTCAGACCCAAGCACCCTGCTTTAAATGTGTGTGGTTGTCTGTGCTGGTCGGCCTGCAGGTGTTTCTCTGTATTTGACAAAGTGGTTTGTGTTTGTTCTCTGTTACAGCAACTATGATGGATGCTCTGATGCTGGTGGAGAGACGTGAGGTCAGCCAGGATTCACCTTCAGAGAGGGCTGAAGGGGCTGGACAGTGGGAGGTGAGCAGAGCTGGAATGATGATGGCCTGTGTGGTTAGGTGGAGGACAGACGATACAGTCAGATTCAATATACTGTAAAGCAGGTGGAGCTTTGACAGCAACCACACAGACCCAGGGAAATAACCTCTGGATGAATTAAATGAGACTTGAAACTTGTTTTAGTCACATTTGTGATCACTGTGTGGTTTCTGTCTTATTGTACTGTGTATGTGGAAGAATACCTGAGTGAAAGTTTAAGGTTTATGATGAAGTGTGAATCTGTTTAAATGCAGCCTACGACCACAGTAAGGGTAAGCAATGTTACATCATCACCTACAGTTGGTTGAATTGTGGCTGATTTAAAATTATAAAGGTAGAAAGCTGAGTGCTGCCACTGCTGGCGCTCTCATCTTCACAGCGACTGTGAGGCTCACCGCTCTGGTGTTTAAAGAACTGTGACATTTGCCAAAACGCCAGCTGACTCTAATTACAACCCCGCTTATGCACATTCTCCAGTGTGTGTGTGTGAGAGAGGAAGGAGGGTGGTGCCATTGAGTAAAGTGTTTTTATTTCCATGAGTACCGTAATTGTCGGGCTATAAGCCGCTACTTTTTCCACAAGCTTTGAACCCTGCGGCTTTTAGTCAGGTGCGGCTTTTCTATGGATTGTCCCTGATTTTTGTCATATCGTAAGACGATTTGTTTTGTTTGTTCCGCTGTTGTACGGCACTACGTTGCCTGGCGGAAGGGCATGTGATCAGACACACAGTATCGGGGTTCAAGAGTGGTATGTTGGTCACATGTCCATCCGCCAGGCAACATAGTGCCGTACAAGTAGCGCGAAAAACAAACTTCAAAGTAGCGCTACGCGTTCAGCGGGAGTCGTGGATGGTGTGCGGCAATAAACTTGCGAAAAGCAAGTTATGCTCAACTCCACCGGTGGAATCTGACAGCGTGGAAAAGTGTGAAAACATCCATCCATCCACCTGAGCCTAAAAGGTAGTCTGAATCTATTTTTCTGGTGTGCTGTAGGTTATTGTTATGTACTACATTTGTTACTCGTTTATGAAGCACAGCACATGTTTCGTACTTGTAATTACCGCTACTTGTACATATACCTAAAAAGTTATGCAAATATGTACCCATAACTTGTTTTTCAAAATATTAATAAAAGGGGTGTGTCTCCAAACAGCCATCTCTTTCCTGACAATTCGCTTTGTGCATATTCTCTTACATATGATAAGTCAACATTGAAACACCTGCGGCTTTTAGTCAGGTGCGGCTAATGTATGTACAAAACAGGATTTTCCCCTGATTTTAGCTTGTGCGGCTAATATTCAGGTGCGCTTTGTAGTCCGGGAAATACGGTAGTCTAATTCATGGTTAAGTATCACATTAACCACAGCACCAGCTGTTTACAGTCATTTATTGTTCTACTAAATCCTGCTGAGGGGAAGCTTTAGAGCAGAGAGAGCCACATACAACCCACTTTGATGTAAAGTGGGTTAAATCGCGGCAACTTTCTTCTCTGCCAGTGTAAAATGTTTACCTATAACACCATCCTAGCCTTGTTGTGTTTTTTCATGCCAGTATGGAAGCTTTTATCTCTGAGTTGATCAGCGCACATAACAGGAAAAAATGACTGAATGTCTGAGTTTGACTTTTGCTCTGAGAGTCAGCAGGATTGGTCGATGTCCTTTCAGTCATGCTATTGTTACTTTGTCGCAACGCTGATGACTAAAGGAATGACCAAAGAGCAGACTATTTTATGATTGTACTTCTCTCTCTGTAACAGGTAAAATGTAGCACAAATGAACACCAATAAACAAACAAAAATTAATAAAGCACACACATAAAAAGCACTCACACTCACAGTATACTCACATTTCAAATTCTGACAGTCAGAAATATATATGCTCCTGTTGTTTTCTCTTGTATGATGATGATTCTGATGGATCAGTATAGCCACCACACACACACACACACACACACACGCACACGCACACACACCAACTTCACGCCCAGTCATGACTTTGTTTGAAATTAGATTTATTGCCGTTAGGTTTGGGGGGAAATAAATTGATAGAGCATAGTATCTAGATATTTTAATGACGTTTGATGATGATGATTGACTGTCTCATGGCAACATTTATGGCAGATTTTGTTGACAGTGTTGGTGTGTTTGATCGTCTCATTTTAGTGCAAAAAAATAGCTGATCTGACTGGTTGAAACAGATATTGACAAAGTTTAACTTTGAGGAAATATTTCGCAGTAAAAACGTGATAAATCACAGTGTGTTTTATTGCAATACTCAGAAGGCTGCAAAATGTTTATAAATGTGTGGTGCAACACATAGAGTCATGTAGTTTTCTTTATTTGAATTTCAGCAATCTCTCTCCAGATATTTCAGTGGTGATATATTGAAGTGGTGATTATTTTTAGTTATAATGAGGTGATCATTGTTATTTATTGACAAAAAGGTCAAAAGCTGTGGTGGAAAAAGTGGCCAGAAATGCACAGGAAGGATTGTCATTCTTGAACAGGTCAGCCAAGATTTTTAGCCGTCTTTTCCTGTGCTGAGTCACACATGTGCTGTGATGAAACTTGTTAGACCACAAACATCTGTAGTGTTTCTCATTTTCTCCCTGAGAACTGTGGATGATGTTTAATGATGATGTTTAATCGAAGTCTGATCAGTGGGTTAGTTTGATCAGAGATTTTCTTGCTTTTTCTTCTTTGTATACTTTGAACTAATGAAAAAATGAATCTGGCGCTCACACTGTCTGTGCAGTCTGCCAGCAGGGTGTCAGTAAAGAGCAGTGTTCAGCCCATAAGATCAGTCTGTGTCTTTCTTATTGTTTTGGAGGTAGAACTCTGTCGGCATGTCAAGTTTCTTTCTGACAAATGCAGAATCTTGCAGTAAAATCTGCCATCATTTCTCTTTCCGGCGTTTCCATTGTTTATATTGAAGAGAAACAATGATGGAGTGACTGAGCGCTCAAAGTGCCTGTTAGTGTTGGTGTATGAGGTGAAATAGTCCCACTTACTTTTAATTTCAGTTTTCTGTGAGTCACAGCTCAGCAGCATGAGATGTTCATTTATAGCTTTTTGTGGAAGTACATGTTTGCAGATTACATTTGTT